CTCGACAGCATAACAAATATACACGACAACTATATTCTGTGTTTGAAAGTTGTTTATATTGTATGTCGACAGTATTATTAATTTAACTATTTGTTGCGTTTATCTCTATGATACCCATTTGTAAAGGAATTTGTACAGAATTAAACGTTGAATCTTTTGAAAAAAAAAGTTTAGTCCGAAACTATGAAAATAGAAAGAGATATTGAAGAAATACTGAGAAGGTTATTTATTCTTCCCTACATCTTGTAAAGTACTTTTGAAAGTTGTTGGTATTAGATGGTCATAGTATTACTGCAATAACTTTTTTACTTTTATATTTGTGACATTCATTTGTATATGGTTTTATACAGAATTGAACGCTAAATCTTTTGAAAGAAAGTTCAGTCAGAATCGACAAAAAACTAAAAAATATATTGAAAAAAATACTAAACTCTTCATTATTTATGACCCGCCCGTTAGAATTAACATCTAAGCGTTCATTCTATTAGCTAAGTTTTTCATTTTATAACTGTTCGTCGTTATATAATTAATAACTAAACACTTTATAGAAATCACATTAATCTTAAAATTTTTTGTGTAGCTTATTTCTTCCTGTATTCGGTTTTTATTTATATGTTTCTACAGTACTAACAATGGTTGTGAAAATCCTTCATATAGAAAAAAAACATCTTGTTCTGATCATGTATATGAGTTATACTTGTAGGACAATATTAAAAAAATAGGAAGTCTTGTGACATTCTCTGATTTAATCATATATTGTAGTTATTTTGCAATATTATTATAATTATTAGATTTGAATTTTCTAGCTAATGTCTAGACTTGTGACAGCTACCAGTTCTTCGAACTGGTTCTTTTTGATGAACTGGGTTCATAAACCACTTTTTTTTTTATGAGAACGGGTACCTATGACCCGTTCTTTCTTTGAGAACGGGTATCTATGACCCGTTCTTTTCTTGAGAACGGATATTATTGATCAGTTCTCTGAGATATGCGTTTCTCTAGCAGCTTTGATTCTATGGAAAATACTTCTTATTGTGAGTTTTGTGAAAATATGTTCAGGAATTCTTCTTTTGGTGATTAGAAAAATATTCGGTTTCCACGTTCCAGAGTTACTTTTTTATGTCTGCAATGGTAGGTTTCGTCAAACGATAGGAGTCTGCTGTATTCTAGAGGTCAATTGAGAAACAATAAAGAAGGATCTGTTAATTTCGATTATAGATGTGGTAATCTTACGGGTAAAATATTTTGGAAAGCTTTGAGTACCATGTCCCAATTACGCTGGTCGTACTTTTATTGTGAATAAATGTTAATAGAAGGCTTGATTTGAACTAGGGGTGGGAAGCTACCGTTATCGTAACCGGGAGACGGAGTAAAGAGGATCATATAAATGTTATCCGTGCGTCTTCAAAGCCTACTATTCGCGCGTTCTCATACTTCTTTCAGGGATACTACAGCGGCACACCCTAGCAATAAGTGAGGAATGACCTTCCCAAATACGAAGGGATGTTTTTTTAACCTTTGACCTATTGCGTTTTTTGCGTCAAGCGGATTTAGGGTGTTGGGATGGGTGCACTGTAAAAAATTTCCGTATTGTGGGAAACCGATCTGAAAGGATTTTCGAACGCTCGGAAACCCTTTAAGGTCGGTTTCCCACAATACGGAAATTTTTTAGAGTGAAATACTCGCACTATACTGTGTTTGAAAGAAAGTACTTTTGTATGATCAGCACTTATACAAAATATGAAATTATATTTTGATCGAGAATGTTATCATTAATCTTATATAATCACAATAGGCTCATGATGATGTCGAATGCATTTCGAAAACTTCAATCAGAAATTCAGATAAGTATGAAAATCAATTCTTTTAAGATTCTATTTAGTTAATATTTTTGCGGAAGTCTTAACTATTAGACCCGTATTTTCACTCTATCAAATGAGTTGAATGATAATATCATGAAAGAGAAGATAGATGGTCAGAATGCAGCTACATTTCGTTTGAGCGCACATGTTGATGATTGGTCTATTTTATATAGTACTTAAAGTGTATAGAATAAAAAATGCCGCTAAGAATCACAAGAACATAAATGGTAGACTTCATTACCATTTCAATTTTTCAGTTTTCATCTCAATAGAGAAATAAACCTGTAGAAACTTTCAATTTCTGCACTAAAATGGTTTTCACAAGCTAAACAACCCAAAGTGCAATCAAACCTTAGAGCTGTAATTCAGATGAGGCTGAGCCTACAGGAGCCCAATTCAGGCGAAGCTCAAGCTTTTTAAGCCTATACGTTCCGCTGCCTATGCTAATATCCTATCATCAACATTATTCATTCTTTCATTAGAGGATGAGCAGTGTTTACACTACGTAACTTGTTCTTAGTTTAATTGGTGAAGAGTATTGAACAGTGTTAGAACCGTAATTCTATGTATGTTTATTATAGATGAATGATTCTTCTATGTATAACAATAAATACCAACATATCTATTGAACATAATAAGTGTAATGTAATAAACCTCTATATAGGTCATATACATTGATTATTCTCTCTATTTATTCATAGAGGTTAGTTGATTCATTCGTCCACAATGTATATTTCTTTGTCTTGACAAATGTATAAAATGAGAAGAAATAGATGAATAAATTAGTTGAAAGATAACACAACGTTTTTCGTTACAATATTCTCATTGATAAAAGATAAACAAAAAGATCTAACAAACGGTAAGTTTTAAATTATTGATTTGATTTATTTGTTTTTTTTTGTTTTTTTTTTTTTTTAATAGAAAATGTTTGAACAACCATCATTTTTTCGTAAACACGAAATAAATGAAGTAAAAAGATTCATCAAACAACAAAATAATGCACTTGGTTATGGGTATACTAAAAAGTTATCCCATAGTCATTCATCTACACCATGTCATGAAGTAAGTTTAATAATATATCAATCTTCTTTCATGTTATTATGAATAAACATTAACAGACATAAGGCTTATCAACTAAAAGAGAAATTCATAGATGTAGATCAAATTTAAAAATTTAATAATGGATTGAATAGAGCATATTTGACTAATTTTTTCATATCTAAAAGAGATGTGAATAAAATAATTATTGGAAACTAAAAGTTAGGTACTATTCATAATGATATAATCTATTATACTCGACAAAAAATCTCTTTGAAAAGGTCATATAATAATAATCAATACTAATAATAGATATACATCCTAGAAAAAAACAATCATCTCATCAAATGAGTACAGATAATGGCAAAAATTCATTGATCATAATAAACAAGTAATTTTTGACGTTTACTAAAGCACTAAATGTTAAATAAAAAGCAAATGATTAAATATTAATAAAAAAAAACAAAATTTCTTTCTTACTTTTTTTTTTTAGTGTCAACAATTAATAGATTTAGACTCGACATGTATATATATCAAACGAGACAATTGTACTAATCTTTGGCATCCACAATGTTTTATATGTATACAATGTAAAGAATTTCTTGTTAATTTAATATATTTTTATAAAGATGGTCAACTTTATTGTGAACGACATCATTCTGATTTATATAAACCACGATATATAGGATGCGATCTAGTATGTATTTTGTTGAAGAAAAAATTTCATATTTTATCCATGTTATAGTTAGTGATATATATATATATATATACGACTTATGAGTTAGCTCATTCAGAGTATTATATTATAATCTAACAACATTCAAACTGAATTAGTGATAAGGAAGAACATCTTTTGTTTCATCCTACAATAAAAACATGAGTTAAATGTATGAATTACTAGTAATAAAGATTGAAATATTAAAAGTCTTAGGATATATATTATTCTTTATCTGATATTCTTTGATAATAATACAAATTTGTAAATATTTCTAATAAAGTGATATCAATAATGAAGCTCTGTTAGTCTTGTTTATGATCATCTCTTTGTAAATAGTTAAATAAGGAAAGAAAAAAACATAATTTTAATTTCTTATGTATCTATTTAGATTATCTTCAGTTTTGAATCTAATAAAGCTGAAGGTCATTATCGGAATATGTATCAATTTTTTTGTTTCAATTGTAAAATATGTTTAAATGATGAACGTTATATTATGCGTAAAAGACAATTATTTTGTTTAAATTGTTTCGAAACAATGTATCTAGAATATTGTGATACATGTTGTGAACGTATTGAAGCCAATCAAGCTCAAATAATTCATGAATCTCATCAGTGGCATGCAACAAAGACATGTTTCTGTTGTTATACCTGTCTTATTCCTTTAAATAATAATGATTTTTTACAAGATAATGGTGCATTATTTTGTTCTAATAAATGTGCATTACAAATAGATAATTATTCAATAAATGCAAAATTAATTGAACAAAGAAAAATACATCAAAATCGTGATATTATTTCAACATCATTCATATATACAAATCAACATAGTAAAATATTTCTAACACGTTCAAAAAATTTGAAATTACAACAACAAAATATATTACATGAAAGAATAAAAAATCAAAAAGGTTATTTATCAAATAGTATCGATATTTATTATTATAATCATAATTATCAATCACCAGTATGTGTTCAAAATCAAACATCATCTAATTCAATTTATTCAAATGAACAAAAATTAAATATAATAGACAACCATTCATATGAATTAAAGAAATTTTATAATGATTTAAATTTAGAACAAATTTATCATCATGATGCAACACTTGAAATACCACGTTCTTCAAAATTTAAATCTTTATTTACATCATTAACTCATTCAATTCATAAATTGTTTTTTAAATCTAAAATAAAAAATTATCCAAGAGTATCACAACAAACATTAATTGATCAAGTACCATCAAATCGTTTTAAAAGTTTTCATTCAAATGGAATAATGTCTGTAATATCATGTCCAAAATCAATAAGACCATTACAATTTCCATATTCAGGTTCATTAAATGATTCATCTAGTTTAACAAAACAATATTCTATTCATTTAATTGATGATGAAAAAGAAAAAAAATCAAAATATTTACCAATAATAAATTATAAATCAAATTCATTATGTCGATCATTATCATCATCATCATCATCATCTGTTCATGATAATAATCAAGAAAATTTTAATTGAATTAATGATCAATTTGATATATATATATATATATAAAATTCTTTTATGAAAATCAATAGATTGTAGAACAAAAATATAAGTTATATTGATGAAACAAATACAATTAATTCAAAATTAATGATAAAAATAATAACGTTACATAGGAAAGAGAAAAAAAATCCAATGAAGGACGAAGAAGAAAAAAGATTATATTATTAGTTTGCCTTTTTTTCTGCATATTTTCAAAATCTCTTAATTAAGATACATTTCACATATTCTTTGTTTAAAATTTATTTATGTGTATTTAAAAAAAATGCTTTTTTTTTTGTGCGATTCTTTTTCTTTTTTGTGGAAATATCTTTTTTTTTGATTTGTATATGTATTTTGATATAATAAATAATTAAACATATTAATATTGAAATAATATTTAAGATTTGAATAATTTAAAAATTGACTAAAAATCAAGCCATTTTAAATTTATTTTCATACAATCATCAGAATGATATTTATCTAAGGTGTGTGTGGGATGAATTTGAGTATATGTGTTGGAAAAGAAGTGATCGATACTGACACTAACACCGATACCCAAGTGGTTATCATCATGAAATCCATGTTTAGTTATCTCTAATGTATTTTCAGCATTGTGCATTAAGTTTTGAATTATTTGAAAATTGTCGATTGCCTCTACGCCTGGTTATACTATTGTAATAAATAAAAAAAAAAAGATTTTCTAATATATCAATATTTATTTATCTTTTAATGATTTATCCTATCAAGTTATCGTATACAGAAAATAGGATATTTTCAAGAAAAGAAAGCACAACATAAAATTAAAAGAACAAAAGAAAAATTTTTTTTTGATACACCGAGAAAAAGAGTTTTAGTACGTTGATTTGTATATATGCATGATGTTGAAATAATATCATGATTTTGATGTATTTTTTTTTGTTGAATTAATTTTGCATTTATTTAATGTTTATTTCTTTGTAATGCACATTTATTTGAACAAAATAATTCACCATAATATGTAAAAAAACCACGATTATTTAATGGAATACGGCATGTATAACAATAAAAACAGGCATCTGTTGCATGCCAATGTTGAGATTCATGAGACTTTTGTGGTTGATCGGTTTTAATATGTTCACCACATGTATCACAATAGTCTGCTTTTCTTTCAGAACAGTTTAAACAAAATGGTTGACTTTCGTGGATAACATAAGATTGCCCATTTATATGTTCTTGACAATTTGAACAACAAAAATGATCCATAGCCGAAGAATGACCTTCAGCGTTAGAACATTTATTGTTAGAGACAATCTAAATAGATAATAAAGAAAAAAAAATTAGCTTTTTCTTATTCAATCTATAACAAAGAGATCATCATCAACAATACTGATACGGCGTAATTATTCATCCGTTTCATCAGAATTATTCGCAAAATTATGTGTTCATCATATAAAGAATAAAATTAATTCTAATATTTAGGATTCATAATTTACATGAAATAACGTGTTTGGAATAGATCTATTTGAAACTCTTGGTTGAAATACAATCTTTTATGAATTTTATCTCGAACACGTCATTTATGTTTTACTGAGTCATCATCATCATAAGTTTTCTGCTCTTGAGCAGGTTCTTAGGATAACAGTTATAACTTGTATACTTTATAGCTTTCTCCACTCCGTCCTATCGCTAGCAAGCCTTTTTAGGTACACATACCCATTTTTATTTGCTAATTCATCTAGCATTTTCACCCTTTTTCTTCCCCACTTTCTTTCACCATCCACTGTTCCCTCGATCATACCTTTTAGTAAATCATCTCCTCTTAGTACATGGCCTATCCAATTTCTTTTCCTCATTTTTATTCTTTCTAACAAAGTTCTTACTTCTCCTATTCTTTCCAAAACTTTTGCATTGCTTACTCTATCCTTCCAACTTATCTTTAACATTCTTCTCCACATCCACATTTCGAAAGCTTCGAGCTTTTTCTTTTCGTGCTCCCTCAATGTCCAAGTTTCAGCTCCATACAGCAGCACACTCCAAACAAAGCATTTCGCTAATCTTTTCCTTAATTCTAGGTCTAAAGATCCACATAAAACTCGCTTCATTCTTGTAAAAGCGTCTTTTGCAATTCCTATTCTAGCCCTCACATTCTTCTCACATCTCCAATCCTCTGTTAAAAAGCTACCTAAATATTTAAAAGTGTTGACCTGTTCTACCCTTACACCATCTATACGTACCACAATATCTTCATCCCTTCCTATGCTCATAACTTTGGTTTTCTTTGCATTAATTTTCATTCCATATGCTTTACATGCTTCTTCTAACTTTTTAATTGATATTTCTAAATCCTCCTGGTCCTCTGCTAATACTGCCATATCATCTGCAAATCTTACACAGTTAACTATTCTTCCACCAATCTTCACACCCTTCATTTCCGTTTCTATTTCTCTTATCATTTCCTCTAGATAAGTGTTAAATAGTATACGAGATAAGCAGCACCGTTGTCTCACTCCTCTACCAAGCTCTATCTTTTTAGATTCCTTGTTCTCTATTCTCATTATCACTCTTTGGTCCTTATACAAATTTCTTATCAGCCTTCTTTCTTTCCATTCTATTCCTTTATTTTTTAATATTTCAAGCAGTTTATCCCAATTCACTCTATCAAATGCTTTCTCCAGATCTACAAAGCAAATCACGAAACTTTTACATCTTTCTGTTAACCTCTCTCCTATGACTCTCATTAACCCTGTGGCATCTCTAGTGCCTCTTCCTTTCCTAAAACCAAACTGCTCTTCTCCTAGATACCCATCTAACCTACCTTGCAACCGCCTACTTACTACTCTTAATAAAACTTTTGCCGCATGTGAAATTAAACTAATTGTCCTAAAATCCTCACATTTACTAGCCCCTGCTTCCTTTTCGATAGGTATTAACAAGGATTCTAAAAATTCTTTTGGCCATAAACCAGTTTCATAGATTTCTCTACATACATCGATTAGAGCCTTCTTTCCTTTATCTTTTATACTTTTGAGAAACTCGACGGGTATACCGTCTACTCCTACTGCTTTCTTACTTTTCATTTCTTTGAGAGACATTTCTATTTCACTTTCTAATATTGAAAACCCTATCCGTTCCCTTTCTACATTGCTCTCATCCTCTATTGTACCTTGTCCTAAGCATCCCTCATTTGGATACAATTCTGTTACATATTCCTCCCACCTATTAATTACATCATCATCGTCTATTAATCTCTTTCCATCTCTTGCCTCAATGCATCTCACACTTCCACCTCTCTTTTTCAACCACACTAGTTCTTTTACTTTCCCATACATCAAGTCATACCGACCACGTTTTTCTAAATCCTCTATTATTTCACACTGACGTTCTAACCATTCTTGTTTCGCCTTTTCTGTCTCTCTCCTTAACTCATTGTTTAACCTTTTATATTTCATTTTACCCAACTCGCTGTTGACATTTTTCCATTTTCTTCTTTCATCCATCTTTTCAATCATTTTTTCACTAACCCAAGGCTTCCTAGCTTTTACATTTTCTTTAAATCCTATTACTTGTTTTGCTGAATCAACTATCACGGTCTTTAACCTAGTCCACTTATCATTAGCATCCTTATCTCCACTTTCACTAACTTTTTCTATCTTTTTATCTATAGTATTTCCAAAATCTTCTGTAACAACTTTGAGTTTTTCTAAATCCCATCTTTTCCTTAATAAAGCTCTTTTAACCTTTTTTAATCTGAGTTCCATTTCTACGATAACTAAATTGTGATCCGAGTTAATATCTGCTCCTGGATGTACACCAGGGTTGCCAGATTGTCTGAAAAGTCAGAACAGTGTCTGAAATTTGGACGCCTTTCTGATTTCCTTCTGACAGTCTGATTTTTTCTGATTTTAGCACTCTCGTCTGATTTTTCCTGTTTTTGATAGCTTTCCCTGCTTTTGTCCTGAATTCTGAACTTTTCTAAATCATATCACAGCTTTTTTAGCGAAATTAAATCTTACCATAACCCATTACTGTAATAGATTAATATTGCACCATCTTTTCTCTCTGTTGATGATTGGTAGTGTCGAAGTTGTACAGTCATCTACTGAATCTGAACTGAAGCTTATAATAAATTCTTATTTTCGCTTTTCCTTATAGCCTCATTGTGGATTACACGAATAAACAATAAACTTTCTGTTACACACTAAACATCTTTTATTTTATTTCTTGTATTAATTAAGGGGGCCCCCTCAGAAATGAAGTCCCACTTGGGACCCTCCGTTTGAGCTGAAATTTTCAGGGATGATTGGTCTTAGTGAGAAACTCTTGTGATAAAAATTTCAGCTTGACATGTCCGACTAAATCGCAGTTTCGATTGGTTTTTCTACCTTTCAGGAGAATCGAAATAACTCGGTCCAGAGAAGGGATACAGAGGTTGGGCTGGTTTCAAATTGTAGTTAGCCTCTGTACGCAACTTTTCATCGGACGGAATTTTGAAACTTTCTTCCATTCATTTTTTATGGGCAATTTTGTGAGCATGCTTGCAAAATAAGCACAAAATAGTGTGATTCTACGAGAGTAAATCCCACTTTTCTCAGCCCTGCGATTCGATATCAAAAATCCGTCCGATGAAATGTTAGCTCTAATCAAGATCTTTAAAACAAAAAAAAAATCATGGGTTATATGCCGAACCGAGTAGGAGTTATTCCGATTTTCCTGTTTAGAAACCTTGTTTTGAGAAAAATTCTCAAGAAATTTTAGAAGTGAATTTTTTCATTAAAATCCAGAACAAGTCATGTTATAGTGATATATTCCATTGGACCGTCTTAAAGGGTGTCATAGATGGCGGCAGCTAGCTCTATCGGACATAGTGATTAGGAGGAAAATGTTGTGCTCAACGATAATGCAAATGGAAAGGTCGTTTTTCTGAAACTGACAACCTTAAAAAACCATGAGGTTTTCTACGAAAGCATGGTAGTGGATTTTAAGTTTTATGTGATAAGTCTTTGAAAATCTGATCATTTTCCAATAAGCTATATATATTCTGAAAGAGGGAGCTTCGCTGCATCTTTCTGTAATAAAAACTCGACTCCGATGTTTTCCTGAAAAAGTCGATTTTCTGAGGGGGCCCTTAAACGATATATTCATTGTATTGTCTTTCTTTATAGTGAAACATTTTTGAAAAATAAACTATAAGTCAATAAACAGAAACCCATCAGAATATTCTATGCTAGTATCTTAACATAATACCAATTAGTTTGAAAAACATTACCTTTCTGATTAATTTCTGATTTTCCAAAAAAATTTTCTGATCGTTTTCTGAATTTGAAAAAAAAAATTCTGTTTTTTAAAATTTTCATCTGGCAACCCTGGTGTGCACATGCTTTCTTTATACTATTCCTCAACCTTTCCTGTACCAATACGTAATCTATCTGATATCTAGCTGTATCACCGGGAGCCTTCCAAGTATACCTTCTTCTTAAATGATTTTTAAACCATGTATTTGTAATGATGAGCTTATTTTCTCTACAAAAATTAACCAGCATATCTCCTCTATCATTCCTAACTCCATATCCGAAACTACCTACAATCTTATCCTCTTTTCCTTCACCTACAACTGCATTCATATCTCCCATCACTACAACACAACTATTCTTCTCTTCTTTTCTTATCAACTCTTCTATTTGTGAATATATGTCCTCTATCTCTTCATCTGCATGTGCGCTCGTAGGCATGTATACTTGAATGAACACTACATCTTTTGGCTCCGCTCTCAATCTTACCATCATAAGCCTATCACTTACTAACTCTATACTTTTTACGCAGTTTTTTACTCTTTCGCCTAAAACAATTGCAACTCCATTCTGACCCTTTACTTTACCGGAAAAAATCATCCTGACCTTACCACTTGTCAATTCGCCACAACCTTCACACCTAACTTCACATAACCCAACTACATCCAACTTTTTCCTTTCCATCTCTCTCTTAAGGTTTTCAAGCTTACCTGCCTGTAGCATCGTTCGAACGTTCCATGTACCAATTACCAGTTTATTTTCTTTGGTTAGGGGATTTCGCTTGATGACGACCTGAGAAGCCCCTGTTCTTCTCCTGCCGGGCAAGACACTCATACTAAATTTCTGAGTCCCAATGCCACCTAATGCTATATTATTATAATCGTTATCCATATTTGCTGGGAAAAATTTAGTTAGAGTGGTTTTCCCTTTGCCTGCTCTAACCCTTTGGTCCACGGCTCCTTATTCATTATTCAGAGCAACCACTTAGGGCTTCCCTCGTCCGCCACCAGAGGGACGCGCCTGGTTGGGGTTAGGTCCCCCTGTCTGATCTAGAAAGAACAACTGCTCAAGTTGATGCGAAGAGTGTCGACCTTGGTCGTATGGCGGAGCATCTATCACAGCATCAACAGAGGCAATTTCTCTTTTTAGATCAGACACCCAGGGTTTTACTGAGTATGATATTCGAAGTTCTGTTATGACACATAATATATATATAACAATACACTTATTCTACAAAAATAATCTGAATACATAATGAGACTTACTCTAAATATTTCTTAATGGAAAATCAAATCCTCATACGATATTCGAATAGTCTTCTATTTTATGATAAACAAAGCTTGTCTTCTGACATGTATAATCATATACATAGTGTAACTATCGACTTATCATATTAGCATTATGAATTTGTCATTACTCAATACTTTTTGTCGAATTAATAATAATCTTCATTCGATATTGATATACTAGCATTTAATATGGAAAAGGTTTCTATCATGAAAGAAGGCTTACTAAATCAATTCTTTGTTTTATCTTTCAAATAAAAAATCTTAAACAAACTGATCGTTGCTGTTGAATTTCAAACTTGCGTATTTCTTTTTGTTAATGAAAATGTTTCTGATAAACTTGAACCTATACGATATATTAAATTTGTATATTTTCTTTTTCTTACTCGTTACATTATTCGTAATAAAAAATTTGATGAACGATTTGATTGAGTAGAATTGGTTAATTTATTATTATTATTATTATTATTATCACTGCCATATGTACTTAATGATGATGGGTGATGATATGAATCAGTCGGCATATATCGTGTATCATATAAATATAAATCTGACCAAATACGTAAATTACGACTAGAACATGATGGATAAAGAACCTTAAAAAAAAAGAATAAAATATTAGATAAAAAATTTCTTTTTACCTCTTTTCTTGTTTCATCAAATGATAGATTAATAAATTGTGTTGATTTATTATTTGATAAATCCCAAACACTTAATGTTTTTCTTTCTAAATTAGCTGTTGTTCATTCAAAATCTGTATTGCATAAAAATGTTCCATATAAACAAGAATAGGTATGTATTGCTAATTCACGCTAAAAATAATATTTTTTGATTAAAAAGAAAATGTTTTCCAATCTTACAAGAAATATTTCATTAAACTGAAATGCAGTTTGATTTTCCATGATTAATTGATAAATACAATCTAACCATTGAAGAAAAATAGGACTACGTTCATTTGGATCATTTGCATCAACACCATGGCCACAACGATCACCAAATTCATGTCCAAATTGAATCCATTCACGTTCCACTAATATTTGAAAACCATTTATTGTTCGATAATATGAATCAAGCATTATTTCAGCTAATGTGATTATTTGTGGTGTATGATCTCGACCATTTGAACAATGTACAAGTACTGGTCGATTATCTTTATTAACATTAGCAACAACACATGATGCAGCAGTAATTAATGCTGATAAGTTCTGTAACCATCGTGTTGATGTTACTTGTGAAAGCCAACTAGAAAACAAACGAGTTTTTTTTGTTTTTGAAATGGTAATTTTTTATATTAAATTTACTTATCACATTGTACTGCATTAGCTCTACGTAACATTTGTGCACTTCTATTTATAGCATGAATATCAGGTAAATTCATAAATTGTATATCACAGTTTGTATAATATTTAGCAGAATTTTCAATACAAGTATCATAACTTCCTGCATGAAGAATTAATAAACGACTTGACTTTGTTTCATCTTTAAATAAAAATTTTCTTTTAGAAAATGTGAATATTCTTTTAATTATAGATTATTTACCATGAATAGAATTTTTTGTTAATGTATGATTACATGCATTAATAATAGCTTGAATCATGTTTTCATCTTCTTTTGAACGTTGAAATAGCCAACCAACTTCGGGTTGACTTGCTCGAGCAATAATTGCACCATTAGTATGTCTAAATTAAGGGTGTCGATGTGGGTGTGGGTGTAGATTAAGAAAAGAAAAATTCCCACACCCCATCCACACCCACACCCTGACCCCACACTCACATCCACACCCACACACCCATCCACACCCACACCCACCCACATCCTTCAAACACAGAATATAGTTGTCGTGTATATTTGTTATGCTGTCGAG